GCTGAGATGATAAAGCCGAACTCTGAAGCGCAGACAGAGAGCCTGGAAAGCGACCCAGGAAAATCGCTTGCTGAACTGGGGAGCTGTCCGTTGTTCAGCAGCCTCTTTCACAGGTGGGGAGAGAATATTCTCTTCCTTTTAATTGTTCAGCCTGAGTTTTGCAAGCCAACTGGCAGTTAGAAAAAGCAATAAAACCATGTCTTCTTCTGCCAAGACATGGTCAGAGCCAGGCTGCATATGAACTTCTCCTGTTCTCAAAAATGGGCCAAGATAAGAAATTTACATATATTGGTCCAGTTCTATTGTCACTGACTGTGTGAGAGAGCTTGCCTGCAAGTTATGATTTAGTCTCCTACAGTGATGTATTCTGCCACACCATCGCCCCAAAAGTTAACAGATTGACATCCTGAGCTAAAAAGTTGAAGCCATTGTTGTGTGTTTGTTCACAATACTACTGTGCGGCAACATTGCCATATATTGTGAAGGTGTTTGCAAAGTGATGTTCCTCATCTGCAGCAAATGAGACATAAAATTAGCCCTGTCTCTAGCCAAACTTTTGCAAACCTGCTGACCAGCTGTTTTAGACTACAACTTCCATCAGCCTCAGAAAGGGCTCCATATTGGAGAAGGCTGCTTTGGTCATGTATATCTCCTGGTGCTGATTATTGTTTAAATAATAATTAGTCAGCAAATAGCTTGGGACTGTGCTGTGGCAGGAGCAGTCAACCCTTTGCCCCAATCATGGTCCAGATCAGCTATTTATTAAACAAATTCAGGAATTGTTGTTATTATTTTTATCCCAGTTTGGTTGTCGTCAGAGTAGATTCATTGAAATTAATGAGCCTAACGTAGGTCCATTCATTCTGATGGGTTTACTCTTAAGCAGACTGAGGCCACATTCACACCATACATTTAAAGTGCTATGATAAACATATTTGTGGCTACCCCCCCCAAGAGTTCTGGGAACTGTAGTTAGTTAAGGGTGCTCAGAGTTGTTTGGAGAACTCCAGTTCCCATAGTTGCCTGTGAAGAGGGCTTGATTGTTTAGCCACTCTGGGAATTGTAGCTTTGGAAGGGGAATAGGAATCTCCTAACAGCTTAGCACGAAGGACAAAGGGCCGTTGCTCAGTGGTAGAGCACACAGTTCGGTTGCGAACCTTTTCAGGATCAATCTGTAGCACCTTCAAGTAGGGCAAGAGGTGGGGAACCTACCTGAAACTTCTGCTCAGGGTAGAGTAGAGCAGGTATCTTCAACCTTTGCAGCCCCAGGATTCACTTTTAACCCAAACATGCATTTTGGGACCTGTTTCTTAATCTTTTACCATATATTTCCATGGTGGGAGCACTCTTCCATGGTAAGAGTGTGACTCATCTTAGATTGGACCGCAGTCCACTGGTGGTCCTGACCCACCAGTTGAAGACCAGTGGCATAGACTGACTATACAGTGGTACCTTGGTTTAATAACAGTCCTGTTTACGAACGATTCGGTTTACGAACTCCACAAAACCGGAAGTAGTATCCCAGTTTGTGAACTTTACCTCGGTCTAAGAACTGAAACCGAACGGTGGAAGGGCACCGGCGGTGGGACGCCTCTTTAGGGAAAGTGCTCCTTGGTTTAAAAATGATTTCGGTCTAAGAACGGACTTCCAGAACAGATTAAGTTCATAAACCGAGGTACCACTGTACTGAACTAGATGGAACAATGTGAGCCTGTGTAGAACAGCTTCATTGTGTAATGTGTGAGTATCGGGATATTAGTTAATGTACGAACTAGATAACTCTCAACCACAACTCTTTGTTTTCGCGAATAGCCTATGGTCCTGTCCAAACTCCCACATGGATTTTGCATCCTTCAGATCTCTCTTGACTGGCAGTTTCTACTGTGACTCCTGCTTTCCCTTTGTGTTCTGAAAAAAATATGTTAACTTGGGAATTGTTCAAAAGCTGACAGATAAGGTCTATATCCACATCTTTGGTTAATCCTAGTGTTGACATTTTGTGAGGAGGAAGCACATAGCTTGACTGGGCAGCCTCTGATAGGCTTTATCTCTCAGCCATGTTATGCCAAGATTTCTCTTCCAGAAAACCTTCATGGTGTTGAATAGATAGGCAGGTGCATCATTAATCCTCAATGTCACAGGAGCTTCCAGGGCACCAGGGTTTGCAGCAGGTAGCCCAGAATTACAGCTCATGTTTGGGCTTTATTTTTTTCCCCTGTCCTGGATATCAAAGAGAGCTCTGGGTTCCATGCAACCCAAAGCGGCTGTTGGCACAGCTCTCCTGTGCCCGATACACTTGGGAAATAGGGAGCAAGTGACTTCCTCCTACATTTCCTGGCAAGAAGCAAATGCTGGACACTTGGCTGAGCTGCTCAGAAACATGGCTGCAAGTCACAGGGCCTGTGTCCTCTGAGGCTAATCCCCTCCACCCTCCCTTTGGCCTCTTCAGCTCCCAACACCGGCCAGCTGAGGATGTGCTCTGGCAGTGTACACACACTGCCGTAGACCTCCTCCTGGTTCAAGGGGGATAGGCAGATTCCAGAAATTATAATCCTTTTTTCAACACAATGAATCCTCAAGGCAGCATTCACTGTGATAGTTTGCTGGAAGAATTGTTGCAGGGTGGGGTAGGGAGCTCTGCCACCTGCTATTTATCTGTCAGGAAACGGGAGCTCATGAGTTGCAAGCAGAAGGGCCCTGCTTTAATCCCCAGCATCTCTAGGTTAGCAGTGTTAGAAACTGAGATGCGAAAGCTAGGAGCTAAACGGCACCTTAAACCTCGGTTGTGGGCGGAGCAACAGAATGTCTTGGCACACTTTTTAAATAACAAATAACAAAAATACAAAGCTGAATATGAGTGAACTTCAGCTTAAATATTATCTTCATTTTTCACATGGCCTAGACCTGCCCACCCCCGCTAATATTCTTTAGAGGGTCTCTTCTCCAGACTTCAGAGAGTAGCTGGAAGTGGGGAGGCAGAAAAAGGTCCTCCTTGCCTTCCACTCTGCAGTTTTAATCTGAAAGCTTAGGTGCGGTGCAGTGCTGCTCCCAGAGCTCAGAAACTGCACATGCTGATGAAATTCCCTGTCGCAAAATGTCCCTAGAACAATGAGAGTTTCGAACACTGCTAGGTAGCATTGGGAAAGACTCCTGCCTGGAAACCTGGAGGAGGGCTGCTGCCAGTCTGTGTCAGTGATACTGAGCTAGATGACAAATGGTCTGACTCGGTATAAGGCAGCTTCCTTATATTTGGAGGTTAGAGACAAGCCCAGTGGGCACGTCCCTTGCATTTATTCTGGATAGATAGCATGTGGTTTGCATGCAGAAGGTCCCAGGTTCATCTCTGGGTAGTGCCGGGAAAGACTCCACTCTGAAATCCTGGAGAGCTCCTGCCAGTTATTGTAGATGGTTCTGAGCTAGGTGAAGTGATGGTCTGACTTGATATAAGGCGTCTTCCTATGTGGTTAGGGGATGTCTGCAGTAAGATTGAAAATATAGATAACAAGCTGGGGAGCTCTGATGAGTCCTCAGTAGCTTCCTCAGTAGATGGATTGAGGTTGAATCTCGAAAAGACAGAAGGGGGACATGGGGCGGGCAGGTAGGTGTGGAGGACTTCCTGGTCCTGAGCAGGGTAACTGCCACTAAAGGACCAGGTGCACAGTCTGGGAGTCATTTTGGACTCACAGCTGTCCATGGAAGCGCAGGTTAATTCTGTGTTGAGGGCAGCTGCCTACCAGCTCCATCTGGTACGCTGGCTGAGACCCTACCTGCCTGCACACTGATATAAGGCATCTTCCAATGTGGCTATGGGATGCCTGCAGGAAGATACTGTACTTTGAAAATATAAGTAACAAGCTGAGGCTCTGAGGAGTCCTTAGTAGCTTCCCCTTCACCTAGGCCTGAACTAGTAGTATAGCAGCCTAGTGGTATAGTACATTTTCCTTACAGGTCTAACCCCTGGGGCTCAGGAACAAATGAGCGCCAAGCCTTGGGCTATTTAGGATAATTTGTGTGACTGGGAGAGCATAGGGATGCACCTGTCTCCCACTCCAGGCGCAGCTTAGCGCTGTTGGTGTTATTTGACTCCCAACTCCTCATCAGCCCCAACTATCACGGTCAGCGATTATGGGATTTGTAGTCCAATGGCGGTTACACCTCTCTTCAGTAAGGGGCTTGAGCAGTTCAGTTCCCACCCCCCCACCCCCGCTACCCCCAGCTGATGCCCATCATTTTTGCACCATGGCAAAAAGCATGCTCAGGCCTTGTTGGAGTGGAGAGCAGGGCGAGAGGGGGAGGATCTCTTTTTTAAAAATAAAAAAGCAAGAATATTTATCCACTTACCTTCAGAAAGTCCCCCAAATATTCAGAATTCTCTAGTTTATATAGGGCCACATTTCAGAGCCCTACTGCTGGGCATATGATCTTCAGCCCATACGGAGGCGTGCCTCTGTTTAGGGTTCTAATCAGCCTGGAACAAAGGGACTCATCAGGGTGAGCCAGCTGGGGAAGGAGACCCTTCTTGTGTTTTTCCCCCCATTCCTGCCCTCCTGAAATCTTTCCCCACTGTGACATGAATGTTTCATCAGCCTTAGTGTTTAGCAGGGTGTCAGTCCTCTGAAATTTCTCACTGTAACAAATGAAATGAGGTGTGTGCATGTGTATTAAACTTGTGGTGTACATCCTTTGACCTCATTCCTTCTCCAGGATACCTCATTCCAAGGGTGGGAAACCCGTGGCCCTCCAGCAGCTCCTGGACTCTAGCTCCCATCATCCCTAGCCAGCATAGCCCAATAGTCAGAGATCATGGGAAGTGCAGTCCAACCACGGCTAGAGGGCCACATGCTTCCCATCCTTGCGTTTAGCTGTTAGTGGTTCAGGGAGACCACTTCTCCTTACTCCATTTTCCTGTTCTCTTCCCCCTGCCTCTTGGCATCTTGAACAACTCCGTGAAGATGTGAAATGTTGACCACGGTGTTTTGATTTGTCTGTTTCTTCCACAGGTGGCCATCGCTTATGAAATATTATAACCAGGTGGACAGCGTGAATTGGCTGGAGGAATACAAACAACGGCATAAAGCTGGTTTGGAAGCTCGGAGAATCGTAGCATCATTCTCCAAAAGGTTCTTTTCGGATCATGTAAGATTTCTTGTTTATTTGAGAAACACTCATCCTTTGCACCCCATGATCCTTTTGTGACCCAGGATACAAAAGCGTGCTTGATAGTTTCCTAGTGGGTTACAGGAAAAGTCTTAAGAACTGAGGAAGCTACTTTGTACCGGTCCATTTACTCAATAGGGCAGCAATTCTCCAGGGTTTCAGACAGAGATCAATTCCAACCCTACCTGGAGATGGAGATGCTCTGCCACTGAGCTATGACCCTCCCCACAAAATAAGCTGCCTCAGACTGAGTCAGACCATTGGTCCATTTAGCTCAACATTGTCTACACTGACTGGCAGCAGCTCTCCAGAGTTTCAGATGGGAGTCATTTCCCTGCCCTGGGATGCTGGGGATTGAACATGGTACCTTCAGCGTTCAAGACTGATGCTCTACCACTGAGCTATGGCCCTTCACTTAAGGCATAGAAGCCTTAAGATAGACCATTGATCTGTCTAGCTCCATATTGTGTACACACTGAGTGGCAGCAACTCTCCAGGGTTTCAGACACCTACATGGAGATGCTGGGGGTTAAACCTGGGACCTTTTGCATGTAGAGCATGTGCCCTTTCAATTGAGCCATGGCCCTTCCCTAAAGTCCTTAGTGATGGGGTAACATTATGTTCTTTTGCTAGGTGCCCTGTGACGGCTTCACTGATATTGAAACCCTCGAGTGCCCAAGCCACTTCTTTGAGGATGAGCTGATGTCCATCCTTAATATGGAAGGAAGGTGAGCCTGAATTCTAAAAGAGCTAGGAGGGGCTGCAAAACAAAATTGCATTTCCATAGGGCTGCAAAGTTTAGATTAATTGATCGGCCAGTTAAAACATTTTTGACTGACTAAAGCAGTGCGCCTGATTTACCCAGCCAGCATATTTTAAATATTTTTTACAGAAACTTAATAGACACTGCAAATTCATGTTGCAATTTAATTCTTAAACATTTTACTTTTTAGCTGCATTCATATCCCCCTCCTTCGAAGAAGTTACAAGAGAGCAGACATGATTTCCTCTCTGGTTTTCTTTTGCTTTATCTTCACAACATTCCTTCAAGGTTGGTGAGGCTTAGAGAGAGAGACTTGTCCAAGGCTCCATAGCTGAGCAGAGATTCGAACCTGGTCTTATACCATTCCAGCTATTAATAAGTGCTGGTTTTGACCTATAAGGCCTTAAGCAGCTCAGTACTGCAATACCTCAAGGACTGCCTCTCCCCAGATACACCGACCCAGACTCTGTGATCATCATCTGAGGCCCTTCTTTGTGTGCCTCCTCCTCAAGAGGTCCAGAGGGTGGAAACATGAGAACTGGCCTTTTCTGCAGTGGCTCCCCATCTGTGGAATGCTCTCCCCAGGAAGGCTCATCTAGCACCTTCATTATACATCTTTAGGCACCAGGTGAAAACATTCCTCTTCAACCAGGCCTTTGGCTGATTAATATTCTACGGCCTTTTAAATGTACTTGTGAGATTTATTGTCCTGTGTTTTTTTAAAAACTGTTTATTTTTGCTTTTATCCTGCATTTTTATCTTGCGAACCACCCCGAGATCTTCGGATGAAGGGCAGTATATACCTTTAAAAATAAATAAATAAATAAATAAATGAATGAATGAAGTGCCAGTCTTATGTTGCATTCTCTGTGCAAGAGACAATCGGAAATGCCTCTCCTGAGATGTTACAGTGTGTAATCTAAAAAAAAAAAGTCTGCTTACCCCTTCTCTTGTATGCAAATTTATGCAGATCTAATTGATTAAAACTGCAGGGACTGCGTAGGAAGTCTTAAAAGCAGAGGCAGACAACCTGTGGACCTCCAGATATTGCCGGACTTCAGCTCTCATCATCTCTGGCCATTAGTCGTGCTGACTGGAGCTGACGGCTATGTTCCAACAATATATCCGAAAGGCCACAGGTTCCCCATCCCTGTTTTAAGGACTACAATGAAGTTTTATAGCTGCTTGTGTTCTCAGCTTTGTTTCACCTTCTAACAAGGCTGCAGCTTAATATTTTGCATTGGTGAGGTTTCTGCTTAACATCATTTGAGCTGCTGCGTTGGCCGCACACATTCTTATTAAGAGCAAATTTATGCTAACGATGCTGCAGTCTTTGCCACTTGCTATCATTAAGCTAAATTGTTTCCCTGGAAGCCGTCCTGACAGTGTGTCTGCTCCTACTGAGCGCCCTGATTGACTAGAGGATAATGCATTGTGAGGTTTGATCTGTTTGCTGGAGTGGACGGATCTGAATTGGGAGAAACAGGAGCATCACCTGTGCATGCATTCAGAGCCCAGGAGGGTATAGAGCAGGTGTGGGGAACATAGTCCATCTGTTGCTGAACTGCAACTCCCGTAATCCCTGGCTATTGCCTGTGTTTGCTGGGGCTGATGGGAGTTGTAGTTCAGCAACATCTGGAGGGACAAAGTTGTCCACACACCTGGTACAGTGAAACAATAGGATGTGAGTAAGAAGCATTCTGTACAATTGGGTTCTTGGAACACAAAGAACACAAGCAGTAGTTAAAATTAAGCACTTTTGGAAACAGAAGTGAATGTTTCTGCACCCCTTCTCGTGGCTACAGGAACCAAGCTAAGCTAATTCCCATCAAGATAAATAATAATACTATAATAATAATAATAATAATGATTTATTATTTACACCCCACCCATTTGGCTGGGTTTCCCCAGCCACTCTGGGTGGCTTCCAAAGCTAATAATAATAATAATAATAATAATAATAATAATAATAATAATAATAATCGACCAAACATCAGACATTTAAAACTTCCCTGAACAAGGCTGCCTTCAGATGTCTTCTAAAAGTCAGATAGTTGTTTATTTCCTTGACATCTGATGGGAGGGCGTTCCACAGGGAAGGTGCCACTACTGAGAAGGCCCTCTGCCTGGTTCCCTGTAATCTCGCAGTGAGGGAACCGCCAGAAGGCCCTCAGAGCTGGACCTTAGTGTCTGAGCTGAACGATGGGGTGGAAACCTCCTTTAGGTATACTGAGCCCAAGGCCTTGGTCTGAATGTAGCCATTCAGATTTTGGGTCTTCCCAGTCTTAGTTGATCTTTCTTGACCACTACATTGCACTGTCTCTCAAGAAACATCTTAAATATCTTTGCACACTATATTTTCTTACTACAGAGTAATTATTAAATTGGTCTTCTGTCCAAGGCACTGACACAAATGTAGCAGCATCGAGTCTTCCTCGGCTGTTCTCTTAAGTAGGTGGCATGTCACATTTCGAGCCTGGAAGGATCAATACCCACCCTATTTACACAGTGGTCTGAGGACATTGCATCCCTCCAAGTCATAAGGTGGACTTGGAGGAATAGTTTTCCATTCTTAAGGCCACAAAGAGTCCTGGGACCTGTGGTTTGTTACGGGTGCTGTTAGGAGGCCCCCGCCCCCTGCTGATATTCCCCTCACAGAGCTACCATTTCCAGAGTTTCCTGGGGAAAAGGATAGACCGTTAAGCCACTCTGAGAACTGCAACTTTAAAGCCTTCCTTTATTCTTTATGGCCAGGCTCCCCGGTGCAATTTTTCTGCATTGTATGCTGATCCGTATCTCTTTCATCTTTCTACCCCTCTCTTGTTTGTTGCTGAAGTTTAATAAAACTATTGATGTTGGCAAAAATCCCAGCTGGCGTGAGAGTCTTTGAGCGGCATTGTAGTTCTCTGCCTGTTTTTGCATTCCGCAGATAAGATTGTGCTATAGGGGTCAGAAGTTGTCTTTTAAAGTCACGGGAGATACCTGAGCCGTATTAATAAGATCCTGCTTTCAGGGCTTGGTAGTTGTTTCCATGCTCTGCTTGGCTAGCCCCTTATAATCACGCCATTCAAGCGTTTCTCTTTGTGCGCCTGGCTTTCCTCTTCCCATTCTTCCGACTCAAGCGGTTGCTCACCACAATGGTTCTCCTTCACTGTGCAGGAAAGGCCTGACGTGGAAGTACTATGCAAAGAAAATCCTTTACTTCATGCGGCAGCAAAACATATTGAAGAAACTGAAGGTGTATCTTCAGCGCCCAGCAGATGAGCAGTCCTTTTTGGAAGGTGAGTGGAGGCCTCAACGTGATAGCAAGCATCGGTCCTGCCACCCGAATCTTTATTGTTTAGCCAAAGGCTCTGCATCACACAAAAGAATCCAAATGGAGCATCACTCAAAATGTAGTTAAAGTAAAATAGTGTGATCTACTGGAGCATCCAATATTTTCCAATGCAGTTATACAAAAAAACAACAACTCTCATTGCACTCATTACAAAACAGGCAGAATCTTAACCATTTTGTAATTTAATTCAGTGGTTTGTCCTGAAATCAGCAGTCCAATCTTTTTCTGTTCCTTGTCTGTTCTCAAATATTATTTCTGAAATGCACACACTCCATCTTTATCTGGATTTGAAGGGCTTTACCCCAACACCCCCATTTGCTTTTCCTTGTTTAGCTTTTAATTTCCTTTTAATGCAATACAGACTGGCCACTTTAATTCTTCACTTCCCTTACTAAAATGAGAATTTCCTTCTCCTTCACTTGCCAATTCTCTTGTGTGTGTGCGTGTAAGGTTAAAATGTTTTTATAATTTCATGAGGAGCGGCTCTTTGGGGGGAAAATCTATTCCAAAGGTGGGGAACCTCAGTCCTGGGGAACAGATGCAGCCCTCCATCCCTATTTGGCCTTTGGAGCTCTCCTGGGCCACGCCCCCTCACAGAGGCCACACCCTCTGTGTTTGCTTGTATGTTATGTGCTCATGAACCATGATAATACCTTTTGCTTAACTTGCAGGAGAGAGGAGAAGTGGGTGGGTGGGTCGGTGGGTGTGGAGAGGGGGTGATTGGAGTGGGGTGTAAATCCCTGGCTTTTGCACGGTTGGACTGTGACCTGCTGTACAAAAGCAAGAGCCCCATCTGTTGCTCCACCCACCACTGTTACATGGCCCTTGGAAGGCTGCTAATGAGGGAATGTGGCCCTCGGGCTTTAAATGGTTCCCCGCCCCGATCTAATCAACTCACTGCTCAATTCAGGGACCCAGCGGCTACCACGCCCCATGTCAGGTGTCTGCCCAGCTGCTACTTCCCATTACCCAGCAGCTCTTACCATTCAAAACTAAATCTGCTCACATCCCTTGAGTAATTTTAATGGAATATATTTCTGTCCTGCCTCTCTTCCGGGTTTTTCCAGGGGCTGTATTGATTGACCAGTATTGCAACCCACTGTCGGACATCTGCCTAGAAAGTGTCCAGGCCCAGGTTGACGATATTGTGGCCAAAGTTCGGAAATTCCTGAAATCGAAAAACTCTAGGCACCCAAGTGTGACCCAAAAAGCAGGTATTGTACAAAGCTACTTGAGTTAGTTTTTGTGTGTGTGTGTGTGTTTTGGACAGCCTTTTCTATGGCAATGCAGCTACACTGCGCTAGGGTGAGTTGTAGTGTTGGAAGGGACCACAAGGGTCATGTAGTTCAACCCCTTTGCAGTGCAAGAATCTTTCGCCCAACGTGGGGCTCAAACCCACGACCCTGAGATTAAGAGTCTCATGCTGACTGATACTGACTGAGCTATCACACCTGGGTGAGAGGTGAGGAGAACATTTTCCTGACAAGGGCCTCATTTCCTCTGGAGAAATCCTTCAGGGGCCACATGCTGGCAGTGAACAGGTAGCCAGAGATGCCCCCCCCTTCTCTTCCTTCCCACCCAGCAGAGGCAAATGACATTACAATGGGAGTGGCCACAGAGATCATATAACACCGGACCTGAAACACCTACATTGGCTCCCACTACATTTCCAATTCAAAGTGTTGGTACTGACCTTTAAAGCCCCAAATGGCCTTGGCCTAGTATACCTGAAGGAGCATCTCCACCCCCACCATTCAGCCCGGACACTGAGGTCCAGCTCTGAGGGCCTTCTGGCGGTTCCCTCACTGCAAGGTTACAGGGAGCCAGGCAAAAGAGGGCCTTCTCGGTAGTGGCACCCTCCCTGTGGACCACCCTCCCATCAGATGTCAAGGAAATAAACAACTATCTGACTTTTAGAAATCATCAGAAGGTAGCCCTGTTTAGCGAAGTTTTTAATGTTTGAAGTTTTATGGTGTTTTTAGTATTCTGTTGGGAGCCACCCAGAGTGTGAGGCGATGAATTTGTGCAGGCGACTGCAGGAACTCGGTTTCTGGAAGCCCCAGGAAGGGAGAGTGCTCTTGTGCGCAGGTCCTTCTTGCGGTTTTCCCACAGGCTTCTTGTTGGCCACTGTGAGAACACTCCCGTTTTCCTAGCAGTTTCAGCGAATTTATTTATTCTTGTGTTTCAGGGGAGGTCTTGATCGTCTCTCAGGCGGAGCTTCAGAGGCAGGTCCTCGATGCCATGAACTACGTCCTCTACGAGCAATTGAAATACAAAGGGAACGAGGTGGATTACTACAATTCCCTGAATTCGTACATCCGCCAGGTAAAGAGAACAAACAAGTCGGAACAGGAGAACTGACCTGCCCATTAACTTGCCTTTTTTTGGCATAGGAATATGTTTGCATGCTGCCCTAAAAGCAGCGATTTAGAATGAACAGGTTAGAGATGTGCCTGGGGGCGGGCGGCAGTTAGGGTGCTCTGATCATCTGAGCCAATGGGCAGGGAGATGGTGCAGCATGGAAAGGGGAGGATGTTCTGGCAGGACAAAGAAAAGACAGTTGCTAACCACCAGAGACCTAGTTACTCCCAAGTCTCCTCTCTGTCTCACCCTTCCATCACCTCATCATAGCACCCATTGTTCTCCCAGGATTGGGAATATCAACTCCAGGGTTTCAGATAGTGCAATCTCACAGCAGTACTGCTGTTCTCGTGTTTATCCGTTGTAACTGTTCTTAACTTTTATTCTTCCATGGGAAACCACTTTGGGGTCACAATGTGGGGGAAAGCGGCTTACACATCTTTACAAATAAACGAAACAGAGAGACAGATTGTCCTCAGTGGTTATATGGGAGCTTCTGGGCCTATTTTGTCTTCCTCGCCCTAAAAGGATCCATTGTACTGCAAGGCTGTAAACCGACCAGTCCCTGCTTTTGGGGGTGAGCTTAAACATAATCCCAGATCAGAGGGACTACCCCCCACCCTCACCCTCACTGTTGGTCTCGTTTTCTTTTTCTGGTTTCAGGTTTTGATCCACAGGACTGGAATCCCAATCAGCTTGTCGGTGCTTTACTTGACAATTGCCAGGCAGTTGGGTGTGCGGCTGGAGCCTGTCAACTTTCCCAGCCACTTTCTGCTCAGATGGTGCCAAGGGACAGAAGGGTAAGCTTTTAAAGTTTCGCTTGGCCTCCCGCCCTCCCACCAGGAACCTTGTTTTCTGAGCTGGCAAGGCAGCGAGAGAGGCAGCTATCTCAGGCAACAAGATGGCTTCAGCATTGCCATTTTCAAGTTAACTGTTGCCAAATGGCGAAGTAATGGGAAGGGTATGTGTGCGTGTGTGTCCTTCTACTGCAGAAGAGAAATGGGTCGCGTTTGATTAGAAAAAAACCCACTACTTGCCATAGTCATCAATAACGTCGGTGCGATCTCATTATCTGCCAGGGATCTGGCCAGCCGTGGAACCGAAAGTTATAAATTTCACTCTGTAACAGCTCTGACAGTGTCGCAAGATGGCGGGAATGCAGCTGCCTAGAATAAATGGTAGTGGATTTCCAGGGGGCAAAAATGGCATTTGCCCATAGACACACACCCTGAGAGCAATCTCAGCTCCCTATGGGTTGCTTCTTCGTGTAGCCAAAACAACACCGTCATGCAAAATGTGTACGCCTTTTCTCTGTGCCTAAGGGGTGCTGTATTAAAAAATAAGCCTGTTTCTGGCCACCTCATTGTATGTTTGTGTGTGCACACCTGTGCCATGTCAAGGTATACCCACCACTCCTGCCATGAGGGTGACAGCCCCATTATTGCGTGGAAGAGCACTTTGTTTCTTCTAGAAAGAGAAGCATGCTACGCTTGCTAAAGGCTTGCCCTTCGTTTTTGCTTTCTTCCTGCAGAAGCACAAACATCTTTGACTATGCCTATATTGACGCTTTTGGGAAGGGGAAGCAGCTCACCGTGAAAGAGTGCGAGTACCTGATCGGGCACCATGTGACCGAGGAATTTTACGGCGTGGCGACAGCAAAGGAGGTTTTGCAGCGAATGGTGGGCAACTTGTTGAACATCGGGAAGCGGTAAGAGCCCAGCAGAGCGTTGCGTCAAAAGCCCTTTCTGGGGAGACCCAAAAATTGCAGGTTCGGGTGGCAAAATGCCGCAGCTGCTAAGAGGCAGCTACAAAGTGGGAAGTCCAGGGTCCAAGTCTCCTAGAAGTCTTCTGCTGCTGATCTGGTATGGCAGAAGGCAGGAACCTCAGCAAGTTGATGGAGCTAATAGCAGGCAGAGCCAGCTATTTCCAGTCCTGTCCCTGTCCTCCTCCCAGCTGGGAGCTGAGACTAAGGAGGAGGAGGAAGCTGATAGGCAGGGCCATCCTTTGGACTGACTGCAAATAGAAAGGCAGGCTGGTTGGGGCAGAGCAAGGTAGGTGGGGTAGTGCCCCCATTAGCCCTGATCAACCAGTTCCATGAACTTGAATGAAAGCATAACCTTTGCCTTTGCCTGTTTCTGTTTGCCAGGGAAAGCACCGATCAGTCCTACCAGCTCCTGCGAGACTCCTTGGATCTGTACCTGGCCATGTACCCAGACAACGTGCAGCATCTCATGCTCCAGGCTCGATTATACTTCCACCTGGGAATCTGGCCAGAGAAGGTACTTAAGCCTTGTGTGCCATCACTTGCCCAGGCTCCTGCCCCAAAACACGCAAGCAGAGCCCCTTGCTTGCCGGTAAGAAAGAGATCTTAAATCAGGCAAGCCTTAGCAACAGACACAGTGCTCAGGGGTCACAGTGCAGGAGTTCAGGAGCAGAGCAAGAAGTTCTGAACTGGATAGAAGCGGCAAAGGTGTCCCAAAATGTTTCCCAGCCACGCCTGCCAAGCCTTTAAAGATGAGGCGTGGCATGCTCTCTCGTGAGACTCTACTTGCAGAAATGTCAGGATTGCAAACATAGAATCATAGAATCATAGAGTTGGAAGAGACCACAAGGGCCATCGAGTCCAACCCCCTGCCAAGCAGGAAACACCATCAGAGCACTCCTGACATATGGTTGTCAAGCCTCTGCTTAAAGACCTCCAAAGTCGGAGACTTCACCACACTCCTTGGCAGCAAATTCCACTGTCGAACAGCTCTTACTGTCAGGAAGTTCTTCCTAATGTTTAGGTGGAATCTTCTTTCTTGTAGTTTGGATCCATTGCTCCGTGTCCGCTTCTCTGGAGCAGCAGAAAACAACCTTTCTCCCTCCTCTATGTGACATCCTTTTATATATTTGAACATGGCTATCATATCACCCCTTAACCTCCTCTTCTCCAGGCTAAACATGCCCAGCTCCCTTAGCCGTTCCTCATAAGGCATCGTTTCTGACGTGTTCTGTCAGAGCAGGAGGGTTTGCTCCCAGTCTCTCTAGCCCGTTGTCTGTGGCACCAGCTCACAGAAATGGCAGCTGTTTGCAACGGTGCATTATTTTGCCTTTCTTCTTCAAAGGTGCTGGACATCTTGCAACACATCCAAGCGCTGGACCCCTCCCAGCATGGAGCAGTGGGCTATTTAGTTCAGCATACTCTAGAGCACATTGAACGCCGGAAAGAGGAAGCAGGGCCTGACGTGAAGCTCCACTCGGAGGAGAAACACAAAGACGTCTGCTATTCTGTCGGCTTGATTATGAAACATAAGAGGCGAGTCCATCCCGTTCCATTCCTCCTCCTCCGCTCAGTATTCTGTGCTTGTTTGGTATCTTGCAGCATTAGATGTTTGCTTTCAGTTTGAGGATCATCACAGATTCAAACACCACCGATAACCTAGTTCCGGAAGCAGGATTAGTATCTGAATCTCCATGGAAGTTCCCTGTTGCATAGTTAAGATGGCAGAACCAGCAAGTACAGGCAGAATCAGAGTTGCTTGTCCCCCAATCCCATCCAGCTTCCAAGCTGAACCTCAACAACAGTGGCAGTAATGCCTGTGGGAACTTATTCAAAATAGCTTGGTACCCTAAGCCCAATTTCAGCCATTTGCAGGTGGGAAAGGGTTACCGTTTTTTTTCTCCATAATGCTCTTTGGGGAAAATTGGCTGGGGACCATCTGCCAATTGAACCTGTGAAGGAGCTTCACTGAGCACCTACCCAACGATGAAATGTAGAAATGGGTTGGCTGTTTTGCCCTAAAATATGGGCTGAAAGTTCAAAAGTTCAGCCCAGTCAAAAAAAGAAAGAAACGTGATCTGGATGAAACGAGCAAAATTTGTCCCCAAATGCACAAATGCCTTTTATCATGAAGGAAATAACATACAAAGCTGCCAACCAGAAAAAAATAGCAAATTTTTATCTCCAGCATTTATCCATCTGTATACCGTAAGAAGGGGGTTAAAATTAGCTCCCTGGGAACACTGTTCTATTTCTGTATTCGATGTTATTTTTAGTTGGCTTTGGACATGATGTACAAAGACCAGCAGATAACAGGGATATATATAAAGGGGGCATAATTTTTGTGTGGCCCCCGGGAAAACATGTTATTACAACAGAGAGAGAAATTGTAGTTCCTGAGCTATTGAAGCTTTCCCCTGGCATGGATGTTTTTCATGTACAAAGAGTTATCTCTTAATGGGTCTGTTTCACACATAACACTAAGCCATAGTTTGTTTAACGAATCATGAGCTGACCACGATTTAACCCTCAGATGATCAAGCAAAACATAGTTTTTTTTCTCCAAAGTTTGTTTTGTTTTCCAGCTGTTCTTGTGGCTTGGAGAGCGTCTTAGGTGGCCCAACAAACACATGGTTAAGGAATTGGGCTTGGTTCACACAAAATGCCAAGCCAAAATTAAAAACAAACCATGCTTTATAAGCCTGCTGCAAACCATGGTTTACAGTTATTGTTTGGGAAAATAAGCAAACCATGGTTTAAGTTACAGGGCTGGGTTCACATGGTCAAACAAATCAAAATCAAACTAAGCAAACCATGGCTTAGTGGGTTTTTGTAACCCCGGCTACCATTTAAGAACAGCGACAAAACAGCAGCAGGAAGATTGTATGACAATCTGGGATGCTGCTATTGAACACTGTAAAAGGCAATCCCAGCTTCCTCAGCCAAGAGACAGTTTTTTCAGTGCTCTTGAGATAACCAAGGTTTTTTCATTCTGTCAGGTTCAAATAACATGATGTTGGTTATTGATTACCATAACACTATGCAAAATCCTTGGTGGAAAAGTTGTGATCCAGTTGAAATTATTGATGTTTTGCTCCGGGGGGGGGGGGATGGTTTAAGTAGCTCATTCTACTTAGAGTAGACCTTCTACTCTTTCCATATACGAGGGCTGGATACTCTCCTTTGTGATGTTGTCATGTGAAATTATGGCTGTAATGAAAGGGGGGGGGACAAGAACCCTTTTTTCCAATAGGATACCAGTCTCTTATTTTCCTAGGGGTGTTTTCCAATTGTCAACAGTTACAGCCATAGAATCAGAGAAAATGTAGAGTAGGATAAGGACCCAAAGGTTTCTTGCAGAACCTCTTGATTCCACCCAGGCACCCCAATGCATATGTCCCATATTGCCTCTGATTTGACTGTCAATTGAGTTGTGCGCCTTTCCCCACTATTTTTCAATTTAGATACGGCTATAACTGTGTCATCTATGGCTGGGACCCGGCATGCATGATGGGGAACGAATGGATCCGGAACATGAACGTTCATAGTTTGCCGCATGGTTCCCAGCAGCCCTTCTACAACGTATTGGTGGAGGACGGATCGTGCCGATACGCAGCCCAAGGTAAGCAGCACTGGGACATTCTCCTTCGGGGGAAACGGGTTCAGCCTTTTATGATGTGGAAAGAAACCCCAGGTTTTTAACACATGCCAGTGAAGCTGTGCAAATCAGGGGTGCAGGCTGGTGTTAGAAACTTGAGATATGGAAGCTAGGAGCTAAATGGCACCTTAAGTCTGTGAAAGGCAGAATAGAAATATTAAAGAATAAAAATAAGCATGCAGGTGAAAAGTAATATGGGATAATACTCATTGTCTGTCTCATGAGTATAAATAAGGTAAGAATTAATAATAATAATAATAATAATAATAATAATAATAATAATAAATTTTATTTATATCCCGCCCTCCCCAGCCGAAGCTGGGCTCAGGGCGGCTAACAACAATCAAATAACCAATAGTTGAATAATCACACATTCTAAAATATTTCATTATAAAAATTAATTAAAATCAAATTGATGAAAGGACGTAGTGTAGTCTGCAGATCAAAAATGCTATGCAAGTAGTAATTGAAAAGATGGGATCTTCCACTAGAGGGTGCTCTGTACCGCAACACAAATGGGTGTTTGGAAGGGTTTTTCTTAAATATGCAACCTGCCATATATTTTCTTATTCTAAGTATTGAGCTTCACACTCAGAAGTGCCCAGATGATAGGCACCTAGCTGGTTCTTTAAATACTAGTATTGCCTGGGTGATGGGTATGTACCTGCCAGTCCACCTCCTTTAGTTCAAGCTGTATAATTGTAGATGAACTGGTATTTAAAAATAAATCATCTCTCTCTCTCTCTCTCTCTGCCTGCCTCTCTTCATCTTCTCAAGGCAGCTCCCATCAGACCCAGTCAGAAGAGCCAATGGCTTGGGATGATGGGAGTTGTAGTCCAGCAATGTCTGCAGAGCCACAGGTTCCCCATCTCCGCTTTCAGCATCTGCCCACAGGACCACAGATGGTCCTGATCCAGCGGGCTTTTCTTGTGTTCTTACGACGACAAGTGTTTACTTGGGGAAAGCGTTCAACACAAACAGGGAGTCATTGCCTCATTGCCACCCTCCACACCTCCCTTAGAGAAGACACATGAAGGAAGGGCCTCTGGTGGCAACTGCAGGTCTGGTCCCTATAGGGCAGGCATAGGCAAACTCCGGCCCTCCAGATGTTTGGGACTACAATTCCCAACTACATCATCCCTGACCACTGGTCCTGTTCGCTAGGGAAGATGGGAATTGTAGTCCCAAACATCTGGAGGGCCAGAGTTTGCCTATGCCTGCTATAGGGATTGGCTTTTTGCAGACGCACACAGCCAAATTACCAAGAGGGGCATATTCCCTCTGTTGTTGCTTTTTTCAGAGTATCCTCTGTTGTTGTTTTTTTTCAGAATATCCTCTGCTCTGAACGGCAACAGAGTCCCCGAATAACAGCAGATACAAGCCACTTCTTCAGGGGAGGCTGGTCTGTTAGGGCATGTAGGATTCCGCCCTTCTGATCTCGGCCTGCCCACAGCCAGACCCCGCCTGCCTTCTTGCTTACAGGAAGTCCAAGAGAAACCCTGCCTGCCAGCGTCCTCCTCCTTAGCCCCAGGGTTGCCCTTCTAGAACTTGGCAGAGAGGAAGACAGGGACGGAAGTGGAATTAGTTGGCCCGGCCTGACTTTGCCCCAGACTCTGTCTGTTGTTGCCCGGTGTCATGACGCTGCAGTCATCTTCCAGGGATGAGGCAGAGACTCTGAAGCAAAAGGCAATGGGTGTGCAGGCCCAGCTTCAGAAATCAGACAGACCTGGGGCGGCTAGTACCCCCTTGGCCTGAGAAGGTGGCACTGCCATCCTCTGACTCAGAGGACTCCACTGCAGGAGGACTGGAGGAAACCCACCCCCACGCTCCATCGCAATAGGAGGTTCCAGGGGCAGGCTGAACCTTTGAAGTAGAACAGCAGCACCTTGCAGATGCTAATAATCGGGCTGCACCTGGCGCTGCTGCCACGTAAATAGCTGTTTTAGCCTGTTCCTTGCTAGAGCTCCCTAGAACCTTGCCTTGTTTACTGCCTGAACCTTGACCCACCGGTGTGGCCTTGCCTTCCCACACTGCAGAGCCCCACAGCCTCCCCGCTTTTCTCCCTGCCAGTCCCAAACGGGCACCGGGCACCCCCACGGTTCTTTTTGTCAAGCTTGCGGAAACGGTCACCTTCCCTTTGTTTCTTCCTCTTGCAGAGAATCTGGAGTACAACATGGAGCCCCGAGAAATCCCTCACCCGGACATTGGCCGCTACTTCGCAGAGTTTGCCGGCACGCACTACCTGGCAAACGCTGAGCTGGAGTTCCGGTACCCCGAGGACCTGAGGCTGACGCTTGCGGATGTCCAGAAAACGTACGGGAGCAAGGAATGAACTTCTGTCTGTCTTTGCTGGTGTGAAAGATGGTTTTTGTGTGGTGGCGGCAGCAGCGAGAGCTGTGTCACGGGAACCGTTCTTGACAGTTCTCCGGCTTAACTAGGGATCACATTTTGCTTGATAACTAGGGGTGAAGTTTTTTGTTCTTTAACCACCCAGCTAAAGCCGTGCCAATATTAGTGAAATACTGCAGGACACCTGAGCTGCTGAGGTGTGCAGATGCTATTTGTTGGAAATGACTTCTGTGTACGAAGTACATGGTCCTCCTTACCGCTCTTGGACCTCAAAAGCTCTTTGTTTCCCCACCAAAGACTTGGGGGAGTGTTTGGGGTGGCCCAAAGACTGGAAACGTTGGCACCTTACGGATAGTGTTAGTCCTCCACATTTGCGGTGCAATGAAGGTCCTGAGTTATGTGCATACCCTGGAAAGAACACGGCATTTTCACAGACCTCGTTGCCCACCTTCAATTCCATGCAGCCCTGTGCCAAAATCTTGGGAATTATATTGAAACTTCTTTGTCCAAAGATCTTGCACTGAGCCGATCTCCTCCCACTGCTCCAAACCATCGCTCATGCTAGCTTTTTTCTCCAGGCTTCACAGATTCCATTACACACACACAAACACACACACACACACCCCGCACTCCTCTTGCTCTGCACCAGTCTTGGAAGGAGTTGCTCATGTTGCTGTGATATTTCCCTGTGCCTAAAGAGGAGTATCCATGCTGTGCTGTGAAAACCTCACGTATGTCAAGACAAATCTGGGCTTTTTGTGTGTGTGTTTGTGTAGTCAAGGGCTGCCAACCTTTTGGAGCCAGTGGGAATTTTGAGATGGTGCCATGGGCACCAGTCACAAAATGGCTGTTGTGGGTGTGTAGCGTGACAGAAAATGGCTGCTGCCCCCCAAAATGGCTGCTCAGAATGGATGGGAGGGCAGGTGGTCCAGTCCTGGCATCCAATGAAATTAGGGCGTGTTTAAAGCAGGGGAGGGTGTTGAATGTAGGAAAGACTAAGCAAATGGAATCTGAGCAGGAATAGCACAGAGTCCCTCCTGCATTGTGGATTTTTGAGGGGATGTTTACTGGGGCCTTTTGTGAGTGCTGTATGAGGTACCGTTGGGCACAATGTTAGTGACCATGGTTCAAACCAAGCTCCATTTGGAGGAAAATGGGAAGTCCTATTAATCAGGGAATGTCCACAAAATCTTACTTGATTTGCAGCCCAGCAACCAGAACGGTACCTAAGCAGGCTGGGGGGGAAACAGCTGATTGTGCACCTTTGTATTTTGTTAAACACTGTAAACATGCACCGCAAAGAGGTGGAAAACATGTCATTTTAAAATGGCCGTCTTTCTAAGCAGAGGGCAGTCGATATTTACCGGATTGCAGGCTTGGGAAGGCTTCAGGTAAACTATCATTATCACGTTGTGAGGGGTAAAATAATATGTAGTTTTGAATGTTAGTAGCAGAGAAACCATTCCTTTCAGGAGAACTCTTCGTCGTGCATGCGGTATTTCTAGTAATATTTTAACCAGCGTATATCCTTGTGAAATTCTCTCAGGGATGGGCAATCTGTGGCCCTCTGTTCTTGGGCTACATTTCCCATCATCCCCATGCTGGTTGGGGCTGATGGGAGCTGGAATCCAAAAACACATGGAGGTCCACAGGTTCCTCACCCCTCTTTTACGTTATCTGCTGGGGACAACTTGAAGCAGCTTAGAGGGCTAGTCCAAAAGAGCCCCCCAAAAAAACACCTTGAAAGCGTTTGTAGTAAATGGAATCAGAACTGGAGAGACAAAATCCTGCATAGCAGGTGTGAGGGACCTCTGGCCTTCCAGATGTTGCAGAACTACAATTCCCATCATCCCAAGCCTTCTGCATTCACTGGGGATGAAGCGAGTTCTTTCCCCCCCCATTACGTTTTACTAAGTTTCAACATACATAATCAAAACAGAATTTCGTCTTCCTTCTCATTTTTACCAACTTCCCACCCCATTTTCCATGCGAGTTCTCGTTTCTCCCCTTCTTCTGCACCCTGTCTTCCATCAAATCATAACCACAATATTATAATCTAATTACTTCTGCCGCTCATAGATCAAATCCTGCTCGTGAGTTCATCATGCTATAATATTTATTTAAATAGTCCGAAAAGGGCATCCATTCTTCCATACAACACTCATCATTAGATTGTCTTGATTTTGCTGTTAATTTTGCCAGTCATGCACAATCCATTAACTTACCCATTCTTCTTTAGTTGGAACTTCTCCTTCCTTCCATTCCTGCTCATGTAGAATCCTAGCTGATGCTGTTACCTACATAAGCAACTTCTAACATGTTTTTTGAGAGGGGATTTCTGCCCCTGTCATCCCTAACGTAAATGCTTCGGGCTTTTTTATATATACAGGGGCGAAGGGAGTTCTAATTCAGCAGCGTCTGTGGGGCTGGAGGCTCCCCGCACCCTGCCCTACAGTTGTCAGTACGACATGAATCCCGATTCATCATTTCAGGGGTAAGAACTTTAGCAATACACTGAATTTCCCCCTCTCTTTTGGGGAAAGCTGCTGCTGCTGCTCCTCTGCAACTAGGGAACAATGTGTCTGCCTCAACCTCCTCCGCCTGCAGCTGGCTCCTTTTTAAAACATTCGTCTTTAAAGCTGGCAGGTCAGGACCCTGTACCAAGGTGGGCTGCAGCAGCAAGCGCTACCACCATACACTGAATATGGTTTAAAAAAATAAATAAATGAAAGAGCAGGTCCCCAAATGCATGCTTGGGTAAAAGACTGAAGACTGCTGCTTTTAAAAGCATGGCAGGATTCCTGCCACTGAGTCTTGGGCCCTGCATCAACGCTAGGCATGTGACCTTGATCCAAAAGCTCCTTTAGTTCCGTTTTCTGTGTTTTTAGAGTAGTCATATACTTGGCCTGTGGTACTTCCTCCCAAGGTGCTCTCAGATTTTGGTTTGTTTTGTAAACCACTTAGAACTTGTCCTTTATATGGAAGGTGCTATATATATATATATATAAATATATATATATAAATAAATAAATAACTCGAAACAGTATAATGATATTAATAAAGAATACTTTGTACAGCTAATCTACAATATGCAGTTTTGCTCACAAAAAATGAGATTTTTAGAGGAGAGTTTCCAGCATGGAGGGTTGGGGGGGTCTTCTTATCTCCCCCTTCCCCTTTGCTCTTGATAGCATCTCTGAAACAAAATGTTCACTTCTTCAGGTTATGATAACTGTGTTTATATCTATCTTGTCTTCTAGACTGTTAGTCCATAGCTATACTTTATTCTTACTAGTAGTCGATGGCAGGACTACAGAGGGGGGTTAATATAAATGAGTGTCTTTGCTTGGGCATTTCTATATTTTTAAACAGGGTGGATTCTGGGCCTGTGGTAGATATACGAATGAAAGTCCCTTTGCTGCTGTGATTTATCATTCTGTGGAACTGCATCAGCCGCCCTGTCATAGTGAATTGTGTGTGTTCAGAGTGACTGCTGTATTGATGGCTCTCCATGCACTAGTTTTGTTTTAATTTATGCACAATAGGTTATTTTTAAAAGAGGTTCTTGGCTTCAAGCCTGCCTGGTGAAATTATACACAAACACACACACACACGCATGCACACACACACACATATCGCTTTTCAACCAGCTCGTAGGCCAAATACTCCTTTCCAGCCCTTTCTGTCCCGTCTTCACGATTATCCCCAGGCCACATATCCTGTTCAATGACGTCATAGAATTGTAGAGCTGGAAGGGACCCTGGGGGGTCATCTAGTCCAACCCCTTGCAATGCAAGAATATGCAGCTGTTCCATCTGGGGATTGAACCTGCAACCTTGGCGTTAGCAGCACCATGCTCTAACCAATTGAGCTACCCAGGCTGAATTCCTTGAGTGCTTCTGCCTGGCTGGGATATGTTATTGAACTGTGGTGATGCCTCTTGTTTGTCTCGATGGAGAGATGGGGGGGAGGGGCAGGAAGTGGAGATTTGTGACTTTTTTTGTAGCTGGATCGTGGCCCTTGGTACAGAAGGAAAAGTCGCAGCTGTTGCTGCACCTACTTTTCCCCACCCACTATCATGTGGCCCTCCCAGGCTGAAAAGCCTTCCCCATAACCCCTACATCTAAGCCTCTCCATTATCCCTGCTGGTTTGGAACTGCCTGTGGTTCTCCCAGCGGGAAAAAGAAATGCACTTTACACATTCCCAGAGGGGGCTACCTTCTTTATTAACAGTTTCCTAGTCTGGGTCTGAAGCCTGGTATCGAAAACAGGTCCTGAGACTGAGAGCAAGAGCAAATTACTCCCCAAATGTGTGTGAGAACTGTGGCCAAACAGATACATCTCCGTACAACTGGTACACGTACTTTCCAAACTTGGGAATAATTATGAGACTTGAAAGTAGGGCGGTTTAGTGATTGTTGTGGCCTAAGCTTCTCTGCTCAGAAGCATATCTCACCAAGTTTGATGCCCAGGATTTTAAGGACTTGAGGGTATTCCTGCTGGGTCAGATCAAGCATGAAGATGTATGACTAGCCTTGCTCGATCAGGCCAAGGTCTTCTCTAGGTCTTCTAGATGTGGGTGGACCACAGCTCCCATCACCCACAACCACCTTAGCCTAATGGTCACAGGTGGTGGGAGTTGAAGTCCACCCATGTGGACTTCTCATCTAGCATCCATTTCTCATTGTGGTCAACCAGATGCCATGGGGAAGCCATCAGGCAGGTTCCAAGAGCAGCATCACTCTCCCGTGTGATCCCCAGCAACTGATTCTCAGAGACACATACTGCTTCTGACTGAACATTGTTTCCGTTTTTCATTTAGTCCAAAGCACATGCACATGTTAGCCCAAATTCTTCCTACCTCCCTCAACCCCAAGCTCCAATACCAGAAGAGACTCGGGCTCAAAGGAAAGTGGCCAAAGCAATGGACAACTGAGAGAGAAGAATCTCACCAACACACCCCTCGCCTGCACCTCCTTGCGTTATCAGAGCAGGTGCATAAGCAAACAAAGATGGCCACCACTGTTGGGTGGCCACAAGTGTATGACCGAGAACATATCTCAGAATTCTCTGGAAAGCAGGAGAGCTCCATGGCAAATTTGGAGAGCCTTTCCCAAATGTCTGGATGGAGAGCCAGAAGTTAATGGTCGTTTCCAATCATTCCTGACTGTTGGCCATGTTGGCTGGAACAGATGGAAGTCCAGAAGCATCGGGGGGGGGCATCTCCATTGAGTGTTGGCTAGGACAGTTTTTGTTGAATGTTGTTCCTTCCTTAGGATGATTGAACCCGAGCAGAGAACCTTGTGTAACTTAATGGTTAAGGTCAACTGGTGAAAACGGCCGTTCATCCTAGAGCGGCAGGATGTGTTGCTTCCTTGCATGAACTCTTTGTACTGATAAGGTGCATAAGCTCTTTGCATGGAGGGTCACTGGATTGAGGCTGTGAACTTTTTCTTTTGCATCCAACTTGTGAATGATGGGAACACTCTGTGGTGAACTGGCAATATGTTATTTTGACTGCTGTGGATTTTCCATAACTTATTTTTCATGAAATGCTTCAGGGTGGGTGTTGGGGTTTTTTTTATTTTTGGAGGGGTTGAGGGAGTTGGGAGTTTGTTCCTAGACTATATGGTTGGGGAAGAGATCTCAATAAAAGTAACTACTGCTTTAAATATTGACTCTTGGTCTTCTGTATTAAAACTTCCTACATTCCAGTAATTTCATATTTTCTCTCTCTCTCTCTCTCTCTCTCTCTCAAAAATAAATAAATTAAATTTTCTGTTTTACAATTTAGAGTATTCATTTAAACAACCTTAAAATATAAATGACTTCCCTTCTCTTTCCATGGTTCATTTTGCATATCATAAATCCCTGCATATTTTATATAAACTAAAGCATTCAATATTCCATTATTACATTCATCGAAACTTGCTTACACTGCTTAATTTATCTTCATGCTGCCAACGTTTTCAAGTGTACACAATTTCCCCCCATATATTCAATAAACATTTTCCATAATGAATTGAATTTTTTTTAAAAAAAAACCAGAGTCCTTTTTGTTGGGGATAATTCAGATGGAAATTCTCAAGTGTCAGAAAAGATTGCTGTTTTTTTGTATGCCACTACTGCAGCCTGTGTTTTGTTAGCCCAAAAATGGAAAATGAGCGAAGTCCCAACTAAAGAATGGCAACTTAAACTGATGGAATATGTGCAGTTTGTGGACCTAACATACAGCGTAAGAGAACAAGAAGAACATACATTCCAGTAATTTCTACCAGAAGTAGCCATATTAGCCTTTTGCGGCAAAAATTCTATCAATGGCCACCAGCCATGACGGCTGTGTACACACTATGTGTGTGTAGTGACAGAGGCAATATTACTTTGAATGCCAGATGTTGGGATAACCGTTGTGCCATCCGCTCTTCACAAACTCATGAAATGATTACTGGTGTAGGAATAGAGGTGTTCCTGTGCATGTTCTTGTCTCTCACCTGCGAAACATCGGAATGTACATAAGCAGAAATGGTCCATAGGAACTGTGGGTAACCAGGGATGATGCATCACCCGGTGTCTGACCACATTTGCTCATAAAAATAATGGCCTTGCCTAATTGTTACTGTCTGGGTTAGAGTACAATATGTTTGGCTGGCAAGAGTGCTGTAGACTGACAATTACGAGGCTGCTTTAAAACAACAACAACTTTTTTAAAAGCACAACTTGGGTCAGGCAAATTGTAGGGGATTGCAAGGACGTTAAGGGTTCAGGCTGCTGTGCTTTGACCAACCCTTTTCAAAGTGTACGAAATGGTGGCTTGTTTTTTTACCTCTCTGTTTTCAAATGCAGTCATTTTCAAAAAGTTGCTGACTGGTATGGTCTCAGTCTGCTAGGCTCGTGGATGGACTTTGTTAGGTATTCAGATTTGCTAAACACTATTACTATATTTTAGGTATTTATTGCATTTACTAGGGGCTTCTTAAGGAAATCAGCCCTGAGTGCTCACTGGAAGGACAGATCCTGAAGCTGAGGCTCCAAAACTTTGGCCACTTCATGAGAAGAGAAGACTCCCTGGAAAAGACCCTGATGTTGGGAAAGATGGAGGGCACAAGGAGAAGGGGACGACAGAGGACGAGATGGTTGGACAGTGTTCTTGAAGCTACTAACATGAGTCTGACCAAACTGCGGGAGGCAGTGGAAGACAGGAGTGCCTGGCGTGCTCTGATCCATGGGGTCACGAAGAGTCGGACACGACTGAATGACTAAACAACAAGGGGCTTTCACTCTGCTCACCAACACTGCCTACCGACCCAAGCACTTTACCTATCTCCCTTCTCCCACACATGGCCAACCTCCCCTCCCTTTGAATAAACTCTTTACACCTTACCCAACCCCTTGCCTATCGCCTCACAGGTCACCCAAAACCCTGCTGCCTGCCCCATGTGCTGCTTGCTCACTTGCCTGACCTGTTACCATACTACACTTGATGTGGCCACCTACTGGCAGCTAAGCAAACTGCAGCATGACAACAGCCTTACCTTTTTATGTCTATAGGAAGATACCCCACCTTTCCTCCAAGGAGCTCGAGGTGGCATACATTGGTTCCCCCCCCCTTCCCATTTTATCCTCACAACAACCCTGTGAAGTAGGCTAGGTTGAGAGACAGTGGTCTGGCCCAAGGTCATCCAGTGGATTTCATAGCCTAGGGAATAGAACTCCAGTCTCCCGGATCCAAGTCTGACCCCAAACTTTGAAGCAGGGAGAATAAGTACTTGCTGTTTTCTTGATCTGCTTCTGCTACAGATAAACTGGCAGGACTGTGGTTTGGCGCCAGTGGAATTGCTGGGGGAGGGGTTTCCCTCTCGTACGTGCAGAATTTTGCCCTCGTGCTTGGCAGCGAAGGGGGATGCTCTGCCCAATAGCCTGACAGCGTGCGGAAGTCAGCATGCCACAAGTGTGTGGAGCAATAAGATAAGAAATTCACTGGAAATTCACTGGAAGGGAGGGTGTCTGCACCCTGCAGATGATACAGAAACTGACAGCTCTTTGCCTGCCCTGACAGGCAGGCAAGCGCAATTTCACACTTCCCCCCTGTCAAAACAGCCCTCGACAAGCTGACGTGGAAAGCAGATTCCTCAGACATGCTGCCTTGTATCTTCCAGGAAACCTGTCTTGTTATGGTGGTGCTCGCAACCAGAGATAGGCAAGAGTGCCTTAGTAGGCAGATTTCCGTGTTTTGACGGCATAATTTTGCCGTCAGGAGGATGTTGCCACGTGAGCAAAGCAGCTTTTAGAAGATGCTGTGCTTAGATGTGAGGGCTGGGCATGAGAGATGATATGCACGCAGAATTATAGAAAAACATTGGAACAGTATGCCCGTCATTGGATCTCACGGCCTTCTGAGCCCCTGGTTGTATGCCTTGCATTATTGCGCCATTGATTAGGTTAGCGAGGGCAGCCTCTCGTCTGTGCTCCCTGTCTGGCTCCTGAAGCCATTTGATTCGTCTCCTATCAGCTCTTCCCAAATTTCATATTAGTTTATTCCTTGTTTTGGTTCCTTCCTCCAAACAGCTTAGAGTAAGAGAATAAAAAGAGCCTGCTGGATCAGGCCAATGCCCCATCTAGTTCTCACAGTGGTCAACTTAGATGTTTGTAGGAAGCTCACAACTTGGACCTGAGCTCAGCAGCACTCTCTCTTCCTGTGGTTTTCGGCAACCGGTTCAGAAGCGTTACTGCCTCCAACTGCGGGTGTGCATTAGTTTCAGAAAGAATGAAAAATGTCATGGAGCTTGGTCCCATTTGGTTAGATTTCCCTAGGGTTGTAAGGGACCTGGGAGGCCATCTATGTAGTTCAACCGCCTGCTTAACAGAATTTATTTATCTCGCTAACAAATATTTATATACAGTGGTACCTCAGGTTACAGACACTTCAGGTTACAGACGCTTCGGGTTACAGACTCCACTAACCCAGAAATAATACCTAGGGTTAAGAACTTTACCTCAGGATGAGAACAGAAATCGTGCCTCAGCGGCGCGGCAACAGCAGGAGGCCCCATTAGCTAAAGTGGTACCTCAGGTTGAGAACAGTTTCAGGTTAAGAACGGACCTCCAGAATGAATTAAGTTCTTAACCCGAGGTATCACTGTACTCCTTGATTGTAAGCAAACCACTAAACTGTTTGCAATATTATATATATATATATATATATATATATATATATATATATATATATATATGCTTTCGTAGATTTTCACGGGTACAGGAATGCAGGTTTTGGTGTCCTCGGGTGTCTTCCCGTGTAAAAGTTGGGGTGTCTAGGCGACGTTTCGACGAGGTCTCACTCGTCATCTTCAGGCTGGTGCTTTCGGCTTCTTGTTACTGTTCCAGTAACAAGAAGCCGAAAGCACCAGCCTGAAGATGACGAGTGAGACCTCGTCGAAACGTCGCCTAGACACCCCAACTTTTACACGGGAAGACACCCGAGGACACCAAAATATATATATATATATATATATTCATAAACCCATTAAAATTATTGATTGAAACCCTTTTTAAAAAAATGGTTTTTTAAAAATATTCAAAGGATGTTGAACATCAACAGCAGCTTAAAAGAGATAAAACACATGTCACTTCTCTATGTCTAGGTAAGCTTGCTTGATGAATAAAGTACAGTGAAGATGCCATGTTAAATGATCGCTTCCTTACGATAATCCCAGACAGATGGCCATTCACAGGCCTGAAGAGAAGGACATACCAAAAAAATGACTGGACTGAGAATCTTGCTTCATCTCTAGTAATGGGATGGCATCCTTTGCTGAGACTGCACCAGCTGGCCAGATCACAGCACACTGGGCCAGCTATGTGGCCCCCGTAGGAGCCAACTCCCCAATAAAATATTTGAGGGGACCACCCCACCCAAAGCTGATGGGCATTGCCATTCAAATGGTGTGCATGTGCCGCATCTTGTGGACAGGGCTTATTCCCCCCTCCCAATTTTTTTATACAAGTTGGCACAGAGTTAGCCATGGACAGGGCACCCCACTACCTTCCCTCTTGTTTTTGATTTTTCTTTTCCAACAGGTCATCATTCTGTGGCTGCCAAGCATCCTCAGCCTTCCTTGGACTGCTCTGGGAGAAGCAAACCCTTCGTTTGCTTTTTTTTTTTTTTACTTCTGAAAACGGCCAGCTTTCTGTGAAGACACCAGTCACGTCCATCCTCTTAAGCAGCCCCCTTGTTGGCTTGAGTTCTGTTGGCACTCATCACCTGTGTTTGCTATTAGAGGGAGTGATTTAGCGTAGCAGAGAGAAGAAAGAGAGAGAGAGATTTGGCTTTGCCCCAGACTTTCAACTCTCCACTTAGGGCTGATCTTTAACTGGACAGTCCCGGAAAGCTGTTCTTCATATCCCTTCTGGAGAGATCTCTTTAGCAGCCTGTGCTTTGCAGCATTCTGAAATCAAGGAGGGTGTGTGTGTGTCTATTTATGCAGTCGAGAGGGCAGGTCGTTCTCCATATACCCAGGGGAACATTTAACCTAGTCCCCCTAATTCACTGACCCCGCACCACTCTAGACAATGCTAAGCAATGGTCTGACTCAATACACGACAGCTTCCAGTGTTCTTGTTTACATTGGGAAACCACCCAGCAGAACAACTTTTATTTTATTTTGCTTTCTTTCGT